GAGAGAAAGAGAGAGAAGGAGAGAAAGAGAGAGAGAGAGAGACAGAGAGAGAGGGAGAAAGGGTAAGGAAGAGACAGAGAGAGAATGAGGGAGAAAGAGAGAGGGAGAGAGTGTCCCTGTCTGTCTGTGTCAGTAAGACCCTGCCCGTGCAAAGGCCCCCACCAGATCCCACCAGTGTGCCCGCCCCCTTGAAGCTGAGCGTGTGGCACACCCTCTTTCCCGCTGCGGAAGCTGTTGTGCCAGGGGGGTCCAGGCACCCGCCAAGTCCAGCGAAACCTGGACATTAATAGGCGGCCACTGGGCTCCGAAAGCACAAGCATGGCGAGGCCACATAGCCTTCAACCTTCCTCCGGCCTCTGGAGACTTTCGGCTCTCCGCCGGAGGCGGCAGGAGCTGCGCCAGCCACTGACCGGCAGACAATAGGTCGAGCTGGGCTGTGCCTGCAGAGAACTCGATCACTTTTGGGCTCCAATGGCCGGGAAACACATTCCCGGGGCAGTTTACGATTTCTCGCCTTCGGCGTCTTTCGAATCGGATTTCCGCTCGGCTTCCTGCAAACGTCATGCTAAGATGTGAAAGTGCGCAGAGATAGATACAGTCTGTCAACTTTTCACGGGACATCTGCAGGGTTCCCATGGATAGTGAGTGCATCCGAATCAGGACTTGCCGCACTCGCCTGTCTCATTCCGCCACAGCCACATCTGAGGCAGAGTGTCACACGACCAGGATCCAAAGTTGCCAGCGTGTCCTCCAGGCTGCGCTGAAGCTCCGCACGTTCAGCCTCAGCAAGGAGCTGAGCTGTGCATGCTGTGCTTCTCCTCGCTAGAAACAACTGGCTGCAAGGCGACATCCGGGCTACGAAAGCTGCATTTACCTGATCTGGGCCCTCCACCTCCCACCGCTGCCGCTCTTTCAGCAGCTCCTGCAGCAGGCGACTACTACTCTGAGCCCCGGGTGCCCCCGGGCAATGAAGGGTCCTTGCGCGCCGCGGCCAAGGTCTCAGCGGAGGCTGTGGCCCTGACTGTCTCAAGCCTCGGAGTCTTCAGAGGGCGCATTATAATAAGGGTCCTACTATTTAAGGGTACTATCTTAGGGTCCCTTGAAACCCCCATTTGGGGCTGAGACTTCAGGATCTCAGAGTTTTGGGTTTCGGGTTTTAGGCTGTCGGGTTCGGGACTTACTGCATGGGGTTTAGGGCTTAGGGTATTAGGGTATTAGAGTATCAGGTTTAGGGTTTTGGGGTTTAGGGTTTAGGGTGATGGCCCCTCTTCTGTCAACTGCCCACGCCTCTCGCTGAGGGTTCGGAGACTGACTAAGGAAAGTCGAGATGCTCCTTCCGCAGTCGCTCAAGCTCAAATTCTGGCTGCACCACCTGGAAGCAGAAAGGTAGAGGGTTTGAGCGTCAGGGTTCAGGGTTGGTCCCACGCTATTTGCTTGAAGAAGGAGCACTTCGAAACCTACAGAGAAAGAGCGTTGGCAAAGACAAGGTAGAATAGCGACGGGCACAAACAAGAGCGAGCAGAATATTATCAGGTGTGCTGGCAAAAAAAACACCCAGCGTACAGCAACACATGCCCCTCAAGGGCAACGAAGTAATGCCAACAAACGAAGGACAGAAACTCCATAGGCTATTGAAAAAGAGATTGAGTCACCTATATTAATATTGTGATGGCTTCACTCGAAAATCCAAAGACAGTCGATGCCAATGAAACTTACGATAATGTCTTCAACACAAGTGTTCATGGCATAGACATTGGCGATACACACCCCAGGAGAACTTGGCAACCCTTACTTCGCAATAAAACTAAGAACAACTCGGTCGCAACTGCAACTTCGAATACCAAGCAGGTGCAGAACCGGGGCGGGATTATAATGTCAACAGCAGGCTCCCTGACCATTGCCAGACAAACACCCACCTGACACAAAATTGTACAACACAGCAAAAAATACATTCAATGTCAGACAGTGTTGAAACAGCATACAAACAAACACACAAAAGGTCAACTAATGATCCAACCAATGCTCAACGGTCCTCCAAACACTTGCGTAGCAAGCAAAGGTTGACGCACTGGAGGGATCACGGGGTGGATACACCGACACTGAAAGTTTAGGGTTTAGGGTTTAGGGTTTAGGGTTTAGAGTTTAGGGTTTAGGGTTGACAACTTGCTAGCCTTCAGAGCTTCAGTGTTTGACTTTGCAGACGGATTCCAAGCACAGACATTGACACGACAAGATATGCCCTCGGTTCGGACATTGGTGGTCAACCCAGCAATTCCAAGCACATCCTGGCATCGACTGCTCAACTTGTCGTTCCAACGGCCACACTGAGCCTAGTATCACGCCATAACATAGCAGAAGAATCTGAGGTTCAGCCCTGCACAGAGGTAGCGGCAACTCCAGTTACGAATCAGGAGTAGCTCGCATCGAGGAAGTATAGGGTTCAGGACCCGAACCTCAAGATCTTGGTTTGAGATGGCTAGCGCTGGTGGATGGCAACTTCTGCATGGTGGGCCTTGCCCATCTTCAGTACATCAGGCTGTGGATCAATGGTCGAACGGGGACGAGGCTAGGCTCTGATGTCAAATTACCCGCCACGCCGAGGGCGTGCATCAACTGAATGGATTGGTGAATGAAGTTGCCAAGGTGCGCTGAGCGTTTGAAGGCAGATGTGGTGAGGGCTATTGGTATGCTCGCTGGTAAATGTGATGCTGAAGCTTCGGACGCTTGGGGCGAAGGTCAAGTGGCTGCTTGGTAGCAACATGCAAAAAGGGTTGCAAAGTCGGAAGAGGCAGAAATTTGATGATAAGTTGGGAATTTCTTGGGCGATTTGCGTGCGCGGGGGATGAAGTGATATGCTATTTGGGGAAAGCGGCTGAAAAAGGAGGTTTGGTGTGTGGGAGTATGTGTGCGGCGCTATGCACCTGAATAGGCAGGGTCAGATTCATGCTACATCCATCGCCTTTTCTACAACACGTGGGCACCTCTTCGATACCGAAATCGTAGCCTTCCTCCTGGGCAGAAACACTGTCAGCTAATTTGGAATGCCGTCCTTGCAAGAAGTTCTGCGACGAGAGCTAGATATCGAGTCAAGCAGTCTGCTGAGATGCTTACACTCAACAGATGCCAAATGATCGCCGTCCTCGTCTTCGCTCGCCGGTGGGTTCGTCGGCACAGGCAACGCTGCCTGCGCCTGCTGCTGATGGCTTCAGCATTCGACAGCCGGCTGCCCGCAGGCTTCAAAACGTGACGACCCCACCTGCTCTGCTGTAAACAACCCCGTACCCTTTGCTGCAGACGGCGGCGCCGCCGTCCGACCGGCTGCTGGCAGTCTCTGCATGACCTCTCGCACAGGAACAAACCGGTTCGGAACAGAACACCACGAGCGAGAGCGTTCCTGGGCATGGCGGCGGCGCATGTCTTGGAGCCTCCCGTCAGATGACCTGCACGAGCGAGGTCCCAGAAGAGGAAGCGCAACTTCCCGGTGCCCTCCACCAGCCTCTCGGCGACAGAAGGATTCGCCGCCTCACAGCAAAGTCTCCAAGGTCCCAAAAGCCCCCGGTTCTACTCCTGCCCCGAGGTCCTGACCGGCCACGGCGCTCCCACAAACGGGGCGCTCGGCATTTTTCCATGTCGACCGGCTCCAGCGTCAGGGAAAGGCCAGCTCGGCTGGAGCATGCTGCGCATGGCATGTGGGATGTTGGGAACTTCTCGGGCTCTATTAGTACTCCATAGGGTTTAGGGTTTAGGGTTTAGGGTCTATAGGCTGTTACGGAAGTTGCAGGTACGCCTGCCTCACTACCGCTGGTCTTCGGGACTCTCTTCGGAGGATGCGGTGTCGTGAGGGGCTTGGAAGTGGGACCATCAACCACTCTGCCATCCAGGTTATCCGAGTTGCACGTTGAACTTGTTCTGCTCGGCATGAGCTGGGAATGATGTGAGATCTTTTCTTTTGAGCCTTGAATGCAGGGTTGGCTTTCATAGCGTGGGCAACTCGGGCCAGATGGCTGCGAACCGCGTAGATGACCTCTCTCAGTGAACTGTTGAGCACAGGTTCTCCAAAACTTTCGACAACCGCCTGCACGAAATCTGCACCACCATGATATGGCTCATGGGCAGGCTGCCGCCTGTCAGGTGTGCAGACCAGGATGTCCACGACCTGCGAGATCTCCTGCCTTTGCCTCAGCTTGGAGAGCCAAAAACTGCGAACTCCACTGAACGGCACACCTCGTCTAGTAGCCAGGACTTGCCCATGATATCCGACAAATTCCCATCTACCAGAGAGAACCCAGACAAACCCGCCGCCCCCCCCCCCTCCCCTCCCCCCCTCCCCTCCAAAAAACAAACAAAACACACGGAGAGAAACAAAAACCCTCAGGGCAAGGCTTCCTCCAAGTCATGGAGCCGCCATGGACCTGAGACAAAGGGAAGAAGAACCTATGGCCCTTTTGAGAGGGGCTGGCATTTGGGGGCTTAAAGGCTAGAGCAATGCGATCCGCAAGCTGGCAATAGCACACGCTGGTGCTCCAGCATGCGAGCCCCGTGTGGGCACACCAGTCGTGACCCCCCCCAGCGACACACCCTGGTCCAGGCTTTCAGCTAGTTTCCCTAAACCCTAAACCCTAAATCCTAAACCATAAACCCTAAACCCTAAACCCTAAACCCTAAATCCTAAACCATAAACCTAGAACCTGAACCCCAAAAGAGGCCTCTGGGTTTGGGAAAACCCTCCGCGCTGGGGCCGAGGCGAGCCGAACCCGACACCTTGGCTCAGGCAGCCAAGGGCCCCCGTGGGGGCTTTGAGGGTTTAGGGTTTAGGGTTTAGGGTGTAGGGTTTAGGGTTTAGGGTTTAGGGTTTAGGGTTTAGGGTTTAGAGGGGATTTAGAGGGGTCTTGAAGTGAGGTTTTAGGTCGTGTGGGTTCGGGTTTCGGCACTCACAACTTAGGGTTTAGGGGTTTCCGGTCTAAACCCTAAGCGGTTTAGGGTTTAGGGTTTAGCGGTTTCCGGTTTAGGGTCTCGGGCAGGGGGTTTAGGGGCCGTGGCAAAGTGCTGGCAAGGCTCTTGGCGTGATGGCTGATCAACTTCAGGGTCCGGTAGGCCTGGCTCTGAGCCGAGGAGGCCTTAAAACGACCCCTAAACCCTATAGGGTTTAGGGTTTAGGGTTTAGGGTTTAGGGTTTATCGTTTAGGGTTTAGGGTTTAGGGTTTATAGGCCCCTATACCCGAAACCGAAAAACAAAACAAAAAACGCCGGCAGGCACCTGTATCGCCAACTCCCGGGTGGGGCAGATGGCCTCGTCACAGAGGTCACTCACTCACCCACTCGAGCATGCATCCATTTCGGAGTTTGCTTCGTCGGGCTTCAGTCCGCTTCGCCGGGCGTTGGCTTCAAGGCGGCTTGAAGCTGCGAAAAAAGGATTCAAGTGCAAGACAAACCTCTGCACTGGGCCATCGATTTGCTAGGCGTTTGGGAACAAAGCTAATGTCACAGGCACCTGATTCCACCAAGTGCCAAGCGAGAGCCAGGGGACAGCCAGCCCGGTACGCCAAGCCGTAGTCCATGTTCCTGGCCTGCCGTAGCTCTTGGCCCATCTGCAGCTTCCTACAAGCCCGTCGGCCAGAAAGCACCTGCGCCATTCCACGAATGATCTGAACCATCGGCAGCATGTACCTAGCAGAATAATCACAAGCAGGACAGAACTGCGTGCACGTCCCGCTGCAGGATCCCGTCACTTTAAAGACAGTCTGGAAACCCTACAACTTAAGCCCAACACCCATCAAGCGCTCAGCCCTAAACTCTAAAACTCCAAACCCACCACCGCTGAAACCCTAACCGAATCCGCAAGCCCTTAAACCTCCAACCTTACAACCCCCAGCCCCGAAACCTCAGACTCACATTCAAACCCGAAACCCTTGAATCCCGAAACCTTGGGTACTGCCCCCACACAGTAACAGTCTAGAATAGGGCTACTATGAAGAGGGCCCAATATATCCACAATCTACATATTATCCAACTGTTACTGAGTGGGGGCAGTACCCAACCCAAACCCTTCAAACCCCCGAGCCCCAAAAGGCGGAAACTCAGGGTTTAGGGTTTAGGGTTTAGGGTTTATGGTTTAGGGTGAAACTCCCTCTCCCTTTCCATCTCCCCTCTGGGGCACGCGAGGCTCTTCCCCGATCCGGTCTCCGCAGCGATGACCTGACGTCTGAGGATTTAGGGTTTAGGGCTTAGGGTTTAGGGTTCAGGGTTTAGGGTTTTGGGTTTTGGGTTTTGGGTTTAGGGTTTTGGGCTTTGGGTTTTGGGTTTTGGGTTTAGGGTTTAGGGTTTAGGGTTTAGGGTATCTGGCTCAGAAACAGGGAGAAACAGGGAGGTCTTCCGGATCAACTAACGTGTAGCATAAGACAACGTACTGTAGTGAATACTCCATGGTATTGTACGATACTGGTTCGAAGAAAAATTTAATGTTAGGTTCTCTTATCTTACTCTTAATATGTCGTATGATAGTGTATTGTATTAATGTTCGTATTATCTTTTTGCATACAATATCACATCACATTATACTATGTTACATGACATCTCATTAGGTTTCATTGTAGCGCATCATACTACTATACAGTAGTCGATTTTTCTTTACGACCTGCAAAGCTTTTTTCATTGCAGCACAGCACGTACATTGCATTGTGTTGTAGTCCGTTCTGCTATGCTCCACTTGCCTCTACTATAGCCTAATACAGTATGTTAACCTCTCAAATAGTCGACCATATCACATGAATCTAAATTGTCTTGTCTTCTCTTATCTTGTATACTGTTTTAGTATAGTACGTTGTGTTGTATGGTACCATGTCGCACTATACCATACTATACTAGATTGTACTAAACTGTACTTTACCATACTGTACTGCACTAAAATGCTATACTGCAATGCATTACTTTATATAACACTGCATGATAGTGATAGCGCATGACACTCTAGTAAACTACAATACAAACCAGAATATGACCATCCAAAACAAATACAATGCAGCACAGTGCATGCAACACAACCCAACTTAATATCACGTGGTATGGGACAAAGTATGCTCTTCGAAAATCTGGCTGTAGTCTACAATACGACAGTAATGACCAGCAGCTCAGCCTGCAAGCGGGCGAACGGTCTAAGATTCGCACAATGTTGTCACCGTTCAGGATATAGGGGATGGCTTCTTGCTGGACCTGAGGCGAAAGCATGGGATGTCCCTCTGAGGGTTTCGGGTTTAGGGTTTAGGGTTTATGACATAATGCACATGTTACCAGCTGATGGCAGGGAACATCGAAAAACGTCCCGCCCGACACCACGTGCCAAGGTGTGGTTAACGTCAAGGACTATAGTACTCACACACATACACAAATATGTTAAATCCCATGCTTTAGTTTGCCAGCTTATAAAACCCTAAGCCCCTAAACCCTAAACCCTAAACCCTAACCCCTAAACCCTAAACCGTAACCCCTAAACCCTGAACCCTAAACCCTAAACCTCAAACCCTAACCCCTGAACCCTAAACCTTAAGCCCCAAGATGCCCCAAGTCAGTTTCCCTGCTGCCGCCCGGTGGCAGGCGCTGGATTCAGCAGCGCTGGAGCTTCCGGGTTCTCACGGGGGTCGAGGCCTGTCCAGTGGAATCGGATCCTAAACCCTAAACCCTAAACCCTAAACCCTGAACCCTGAACCCTAAACCCTAAACCCTTTTTTGCAACGGGCTTTCCATTTGTTGAAACCCTAAACCCTAAACTCGGATCTGGTATGCATTACTGTATTGGGTTCAGGGGTTTTAGGGGTTTTAAGGGTTTAGGGTTTAGGGTTATATTTTGTAATAGAGTATCAGGTATGATCCTATGTTATTATAAGCTGTTATAAGCGACAGATCTCAGAAGCTAGATTCATGAGGGACCTGTGCGTCTGAACTCGAGTTTGGATCTCAAGCAGAGGACAAGAGACAACAGTCTCTGAGGCTATTCCGTACCATGGGGTCGTGTAAGCTAGAAGGGACTGTTAGGATCGCAGGGTGTAAAAGTCAAAAAGGTCATAAGATTTATAAGTATAAGCTCTTGTGATAAGGGATTGCGGGTGTGGGGCGTAGGGATCAAGGTTTGGAGTTTAAGCTGGGGCGCAGGGCTTGCGAGTTGTTTTTGTTTAAGCTTTGGTCGGGTTTATGGTTTGGGTACACGGGACGCGGCTTGGGGCTGTGTTAGGCTTTGAGGGTTTTGCAGGGTTTGGTGTCCGGGGATTACGGGGGTCCAGGGCTTGGAAGCAGGCATGGATTGGGATTTCAATCTAGGGGTTGGCGCTAAGGGGTTAAAGGATCAAGGGCTAGGCGGCTCAGGGTTTTAGGGATTTTGAGCTTAGTTTTGGCCTTTTGCTTCCGGATTCCAGGGCTTGGCGCTTTAAAGCTTCGGAGAACCCTCTGAGCTGGCGACCGAGCGAGTTCGCTGCTCCTTCGATAACCTTCCAAGAGCAGTGATCCGGAATGCCAAGAGCCAACTTGTGCCCTGGGCCCTGTGACCGAAAGCTCGAGGAGCAGTGAAGCCCATAGCTGCAGCACAAAGCCTTGAAACCTGACTCCCTGACCCGGGTCACCTAAGCCCCGCAGGAGCTAGCATCATGCGCATCAGGAGGGGAGGTCGCGACACGAACCCAGGCCCTTGGTGCCTCGGGCTTCAGCCCAAGCTCTGCGAAGGTCCTGAGTCGCTGGGAGACGGGAACGGGCCACAGCAAGGAGACGACAGCAGCGGGCTTGCAGTGGCTTGCAGGCTTAGGGCCGCAGGTGCAGCCCTAACTACTTCCGAGGGGGGGGGGGGGGGGGGTGATTCAGCTACAGTGTTACAGGGCTGTCGCCAAGATCCCGGCCCGGCCATGGGAAAGACCAGGTCTTTCGCTCGCTTCCTTCCCCTTGGAATCCCAGCGCAGCTGTCGATGCGTGATGTGTATGCAGAGGTGTCGAAGGTTCTCATGCACAGCAGGAGGACTTTGGTCGCAGTATGTCGCAGTCATAGATGCTGCAACCCTTACGAAAGTACTGCAGATGTCGCTCCTATTACATCTGATCATCCTGGCCGTCATTCCTCTTCCTATCCACACTATGTCACCACACATTGCTAGGACGTAAAAACTAAATCTGCACTGGGATGATGCTCTGCATTGCTTCTACTTCCATATGACAAAGCAAGTGGAGGAGGAGCAGCAGCAGGAGGAGGAAGGCCTGCTACTGCTACAGAAAAGGCTTCATCATCTTCTGACAATTCGATTACAGGCATGGTCCAAATGGAACTGGCCTCCAGGTGCCAGCGAGATTGAACTCGACATCTGCCTCCATGGGCACCTTTTGTCACAAACCCTAAGCCCTAAACCCTAAACCCGAAGCCCTAAACCCTAAACCCTGGACCCTAAACCATAAACCCTAAACCCCTAAGCCTGGCTTCTGCAAAGCAGAGAAGGGCGAATGCACCTTGCCACCCTTCGAGGCGAGGTAGTCTTTCGGCACGTCGCTCGCCCGAAAGATGATTTTCTGGCACAGCGAATGAATAATTTCAATATATATATATATATATGTATATATGAAGGCCGGGCCGTGATCCATCCTACCCATCGCCTCGGGTGGCGAGCCGCAGAGCAAGTAACCAAAGCCCCGGTGCGGCAGCCAGTCACACACCTGGGGGCTTACACGCGCCGACGCGGAATGAGCTGGCTGAGTCTCCTTGACTTCCGGAGTGCAAGGATCCGGTCTCTCAACATCCGGCCTTTCCGATGCCCCGCTTCTCGTCGAAATAAGGTCTACCAAAGCGCCTTCGAAGAGCAGAAGAAAGCCGTCCACTAGCCATCACTTCGGCACGGAAACACACAGCAGGGAATGCCCTAAGTCGAACCTTTCCATCTCCAGGCCCTCTTGAAGAACGGTGGCCTGGAACAGGCTTGGACCAAGCCGCTTGGTCCAGGTGCGGGAACCCCGACGGCCAGTACTGGCTGCAGGCCTCCATCGGACGGTTCTTCCATTCCTCGACCTCTTCCATGACCTAACATGCAGGCGCTCTTCCGTAAGCATCGTCGACAAGATCCTAAATCAAACGTGTAACTGCAACATTGCTACCTTGGCGTGTGAGTATGTGACCAAAACAGTCCTGAATTCAAACCTCAGGACGGCACAGTTAAAGCCCGACTGCCCTTCGCACGACAGAGTGTGCGAGGGCCTTGCAAGGCAAGCATGCACTTACGACTTCAGTTGCCTGCCGCGCAGTGAGCAGCTGGAGACTTTAAAACTTTTGGTTTCATAGTTGACACCATGGCCGCTACCTTGAAGGTCGTCCTTTCACCCCTACAATCCTGCTCCCGCCCCCAGTATACATCAGAAAGTCCAGCCTCGTGCCGGACCCGTTCGATGACCTGAAGGGTGTGAACAAAGCACGGAAGACGCCGGCATCGTCTTCACCCGGCGCGGCCTCTCACAGCCCTGCATGCGAAAGCCACGGCCTCAGAAAATAAGACAGCCGAAGCCACGTGTGCCCAGCACTGCAAAACCTCAAGGGCCACACCAAAATCATGGTCGCACATGGTGCAGCCGTCCCTGCAGCCTCAGCAGATCAGCAGATGCCATGATTGACCTGCATGATCTTCCTTTGGCTCCCAACCTGCGCCTGCTGCCCACAAAGCGGCTGCCCGAGATTCCTCACAGGACTGGCTGGCCGGTGTTGAGGCGTAGGTTTTAGGGAAGTCGGCTTGCTCTTACACGGGCAGGGGTCTAGCATGCGAATGCGAATAAGTCTGCTCGTCCTCACTAGCATTTCGAATATCATCTTCAGATGAATCAAAAACGTCCAAGCGAAGAGGCTCAAAGCTGCGCGAAGCCTTGCCGGAATGTGGTCTGCAGCCCGTGCAGGCACACTAGCTGCAGACGGGGCCAGCAGGATGGTCGCCATCCCTATGCAAAAGATGTCTTTGAAATATGGCTGAACTGTTGGCATCTTCATGAGGTTCTGTCCGACACAGCGACCATAGAGCACGAACAGTCTTTCGAATCGCTGCTTCTAGCCTCCTCATCATCTTAATGTTGTTGTCGTTGTTGCTCGCTTTGTCCTGGCTGCTGTGGCTGTTTGTTCCTGGCTATGGTGACAGGTCTTGTCACACATCACTGGGCTACACTTATAAGCGGGATATGAAAAATGACAGTGCAGTTCAACATCGGCTCCCATATCCCATGTCGCAAGCTGCAGCCCACTGATGGGAGCTGCAGGCTGAACCAGAACAGCTTTCATGGCTGCGTTTGCTCCGTTTTGATTCAGCGAAAAGACATGTCAAGCTACGTGTTGGCAACGCATTTGCGGTTCGTTTGTTTGTTAACTGACAGGCTTGGCCTTCGATCGAACTCCAAACTGCTTGGCGCGGATTTTCGAGTAAAGGTCGACGCGGTTACACTCCAAAGCCCTGTTCCTTCAGATGGATGGACCAGGCAAGCATGCAAATCATCCCGATCCTAAAAATTGCATGTCTCCACCGCTAATGCACAATGAGGCAAAAAGATTTCTCTCGATGTCAAACAACCTATTCTGCTTCAATCTGCAGCGACTCGACTGCGATGTTCCAACTCCTCCCCTAAACCTTAAACCCTCCCCTAAACCCTAACCCCTACCCCCTAAACCCTAAACCCTCCCCCCTAAACCCGAACCTCGCCGCTAAACCCTGAACCCTCCCCCCTAAACCCTAAACCCTCCCCCCTACACCCCAAACCCTCCCCCCTAAACCCTAAACCCTCCCCCCTAAACCCTAAATAAACCCTCCCCTAAACCCCAAACACCTTCCCTCCTAGACCCTAAACATCCTCCCCCCTAACCCTAAGCCCTAAACCCTCCCCTAAAAGATCATCTTTGGGCCAAGACTTCTTCACTTCACAAGGACAAGGCTGCTCCTTCATGCTGTGAACGCTGGAATCATTCATCGCTTGCTGCCTGCTGAAAGGTGAACTGAATGCACCTCCGCAGGTAAAACATCCGGCAGCACGCGGGTGGCGATGCTGATGATGAATGTGACAAGAACAATGCTGAACGACATTGACAATTATGCCCATCAGCTTGTCACCTGCTTGCATTCCCCGGTGACGATACAAGCACTGCAGCATTACTACATTACCATGTGCATGATCATGCACCTCGCCAGAACTACCACTCGAACTCTGCAGCAGAGAAAGACGGCACACGTACTGTCCGCTAGGTTCACACACTCCCAAAAATGCCACATCCTGGTGTCGCATGCCCAAGTTCACTGAAGTAGTGCGGTGACGATGGCTATGCCAAGCAGTTGTCCGGCACATCTCAATGCGAGCTTCGCTCCGAGATGGCAGCACAGCAGCAAGCCGGGGTGAAACGCAGACATAGGGATTCCCTCTTTGAGACACTGAGCAACTGCACACTACACAACGAGATCCCGAAACTCCTGGAATAAGTCCCGGCATCGAACTCTCGAACTCCAAGTCTGAAGTCTGAGGGTTACTCAAGGTTCAGGTCTTGGCAGCTCGAGTCCCGCAGACCATGTGCAGTGACACGTCCAAATGCGGTAGCAGATCTGACTTAGAAGTCACCCAGGGTATCCTCAGGTGGACAAGCTTACGACTAGCCAGCATGCAACTCACGCCAGGCGCTCGAGGTCAAGTGGCGAAAACTGGGGGTCAGGCCAACCATCGCGGGGTGAACCAGAAAGCCACGCAGTTGGCCAGGATTCCGCGGTCATAGGGGTTCTGGCACATGCACATCCAAGCCGATCCCGCGAATAACGCGCTCGAGAAAGATCTTCGACCACAGGAGCAATCAAAAGCCAGCCCAAGTTCCTCAGGGACTTGTGGATGCACTATTACTATGACAGCGACGAAGACTACCATGCAAACCGTGGCCAAGCACTTGCCCTGAGCAGCACGTCTACGTCGACTCCAAACACGTCCTCTTCCACTTCTACACCACGATGAAAACGACAGCACAAGCATGAGGAAGAAATTGCTGCTACTTCCGGCCTCTATCTGCCTCTTGCCACTGCAAATACTCACAACTCGCATCCGTTCTCCTCACGTGGCCATAATGCAACATTAAACTGTGTGTGAAATCTGCACGCTGATGTTCTTCTTACGGCAATAGTTTGATGGCATCATTGTCGCCGCTGCTGCTGCGGCTGGTGCTGCTGGTACGGCTGTTGTTGGTACGGCTGTCGCTAACGCTGCTACTACTGCTGAATCTGAAGCGGCTGTTCTTGCTGATGCTGGCACTGACCTCATGGCTGTCGTGGCTGTGTGGCTGTGGGGACGGTGGTGACTACTCAGACAACTCTGCACGGATAATATTTGAAGCGCTGGCACGCAGCATCTGACTTGGGGGACCAGTTTTGTGTCTAACATCACACACTCAGGCATGCTCAACACAAAATCAGCAGTTTCACCGTGGATCACTGGCAAGCCGGAAAGAAAGCTGCATCCCACCTCGAAGGCTCATAAACAAATGCCTCCGAGTCAAAGAGGTCGTTGTACCTGGCCACATCCCATGCTCCGAGTCACATCCCATGCGAGCTCTGTGTGCAACTCATTGCATGGTTTCGCAAGAAAAGCAGGACGCTCCGAGGCATCATCGATATCGCCCACCGGTATCGAGTCCCCCAAACTGCGTCGGCCTCAGCAAAAAGTGCACACCACAACACACAGATCCTGCCAATGCAGGACAGCAGAACGAGGCCACCCAGTGTTTGCAGGTTCTCCACTGTTGGCCAAGTTCATTCCTGGATCACGGCAAGCGACCAGCTTGACATGGCGTGCACTGGCACTGGCACAAGTCCTTGTGATGAGACCGCAATGGATATCCAAGATGGACCTCACTTACTACAACTACTACTACTCCTACTACTACTACTACTACTACTACTACGAACTACTATGACTACTAGTACTAGTAGTAATACTACTACTACTACTACTACTACTGCTACTTTCTACTACTACTACGACCTCGACACCCCAAACCCTCCCTCTTAAACCCTAAACCCTCCCCCCTAAACCCAATTCTGCACCTCACCAGAACTACCTCGAACTCTCCAGACGGAATGCTTCTTATTCGACGTCTTTACAGACGAAAACAAGCATTCACTGGAGAACTAGCACCTTCCAGCATCGTTGAAGCCACGGTTCTATTTCGGTCTGAATACTGCTGTTCGTTTTCAAGCAATCAAGTTGAGAAATAAGTTGCTGGAAGCCATGATGCCCAGCTTCCAGACGCACAACGCAGCCCTCTCTCCGCCTGTGTGTTTACAATTGCACGAAAACTCGAACTGTGAAAAAAAAAACACTTAAGTTTAATGTGTGCCACAATGTTGATGGCACAGTGATGAAATTCTCCGTTCATGATGCTACCTCCACTTCGTGTGACATGTCTGAATGTAAAACTGGAAATGGAGAATCACGCCAGATAACCTTCCGGCAGCAATCTTCCACCAACTTTGCCTCAGATATCTTTCTTTTTCCATTTCTTGCCTGTAAGGCTTCGATTCTTGCAGTGTCCATAGTATGTTGAACAACACTCAATTCGAGACCTGATGGAACATTGCTCTCTTGTGGGCAACTTGTTTGGCCTGTGCCAGGTCTAGGTTTCACTTGGAGTCTCCACTTTACCCAGCGTGTCTCAGAGCGGCTGATGCCCCACAAGCCGTCCTTGTCAGCCTCTCGCTTTGTCAACGAGAGAAGCTGCTGTTGCATGCGGAACTGTCGAAACAAGCTTCTTTCGCGCACGAAACTGCGTCTGCGACCGCTGCACCACCCTTTACTGGTCTTGGAGAAGTGTACTTCGGAGACGATGTGTTTCAAGTGGTAGTAATGTGGACGGATTCTAAGCGTCTTCAACACGGTCGAAAGCACTTTGTGCAGGCATATTACTGAAGGCCAACTTTGGAACACGGCAAAGAGAAGCTGTCTTTCTGGACGGCTGTTGGTCGGAAACTCGAACGTGGGGCGCTTTCTGAAAACTTGGAGTCCACTCTGCACGTGAGGCAGCATGGCCTTCAATCTGGAGACAACCAGTTTGGAGAGCCAACTCCTTCTGTGAAGCGGGGCTGCGAGCGGAATGAGAGCCCAAGCTCATCGACCTCTTGATCACCCGCCCAATTCAAGGAAGAAAGACTTGGAAAGGCGCGTGAGACGAAGAGCATCCGCGAACCTCACCTTCGCAGACAAGAGCATGACTTTCCTAGAGTCGAAACAGTGCAGTATGTGTCGAAGACCAGTACTCTGCCCAGTAGTCTAGGTGCGACACAGAGTTTTCCTGGGTACCGGTTAGTTTTCTTGTAGTTTCAGGTGGTTAGTGCCTGTGTACGTAGTTTGAGCAGTGCTCGACAGTTTCAGCTAAAGCTTCACTTGTTTTCCCGTGT